GAGACGGACATTTTACCTGGTCTAATAGTGATTAGGACAAGGGGGAATGGTTTTGAACTAAAACAGGGGAGATCCAGATTAGGTGTTGGCAGGAAATTTTTTAATTGAACAGTGTTTAATGACTGGCACTGGCTGCCTAACAAGCTGGGAAGCTCCATCCCTGGAGGTTTCGAGGCCAGATTGGATGGAGCCCTGGGAAGCCTGATCTAGTGGGTGGCAACCATGCCCATGGCAGGGGAATTGAATCTAGGTCTCTAAGGTCCCTTCCAACCCAGCCATTCTATGATTTGTTTTATGATTACCTCAGCTCTTGTTACTGTGCACCACTGTAAAGAGGCTGGCCCTGTCCTCTTTGTACCCTCCCTTCAAGTATCTGTACATACTGATGAGCCTTCTTTTTTCTAGGCTAAACAGGCTTGGCTCTCTAAGCCTTTACTCACAGGAGATATGCACCAGTCCCTCAGAATCATAGAATATCCTGAGTTGGAACTGACCTGCAACGATAATTGAGTCCAATGCCTGGCTCCATACAAAACCACTCCAAAATCAAATCCTATGTCTGGGAGCATTGTCCAAATGCTCTTGAACTCTGGCACTTGTAACTGTGCCCATTACCCTGGGGAGCCTGCTCTGGTGCCCAACCACCCTCTGGTGATGAACTTTTTCTTAACACCCAGTCTGACCATCCCCTTGCACAGCTCCATGCCATTCCCTCAAGCACCGCTGCTGTCACCAGAGAGCAGAGATCAGTGCCTGCCCCTTTTTTTCTCTTCTGGAGAAGCTGTAGGGCACTGTGTAGAAACTGTTCCACTACCAGCATAAATTGGCTAGCAGCGATGTGCCTGATGCTCCGCAGAGTATGAATGACTCTTTTGTCTGCTAAGGCACAGAGCCCCTAGATCCCTTTCCACAAAGTTGCTCTCCAGCCTAATCACCTAATCACTTGGTGGCATTATGATGTATTCTTTCCAGTGACCTCCTGCCTCTCTTGTATGGTGGGGCTCAGAACTGGGCACAGTAGTGTGTAAACTATGCTTCATCATATCTGAATATGCCAAAGAGCAACAGCTCCCAAAGCTCTGAGCTATAGAGCATTGTCATCTCTCAGAATTTTTGCCAGAAGCTCACGTAACAGTGCTTGCAATTGTAACGACTGTTGAAGCTGTATGGTTGCATGGAGCAAATATTTATTTAATATTGCTTAACATTGCCCTGTAGGTCACCATAGTTATGAAACTGTGGTATATACCATGCAATACTGTCCCTGGCTGATTGCTATTTTCCCAGCTGGCTTTTCTGTTTATACTTACAATATAGTTTGCTTCAGATTTCCTGGTGAGAAAAATTAGTAATAGCTCTTCATTAGTGTAACAAACTGATGTCTGGTACGTGTGTTTTTCTCCTGCAAAAGCTTAAAAGTCTAAACATCTAAGCAACTTAACTGTTTAATAAAACAGGAGTTGTTTTTTTCTTTTTTTCTAATTGAAAAATGTTTCTTTGGGTTTTTTTGTTTGTTTTTTTAATGATTTTGAGTGCATTAATGTGCATAGCCTTAAAGATAGAATTATCAGTAAAAATGCACTGTGTCATTTGGTAAAGATGTTAGTTTACTGCTAGTTTCCTGCTCTAAATTGTATAAAAGTGCTCATGTAAAAGATAGCTCTTAATGACTAGCAGCAACAGGATGTTCAAAGTATCTGTGGATGCTGCTACAGTCAGAATCAGCAAGTTACAAGAAATAATTTTTTTTTTTCTCATTGCTGTTGCCAGACACACCACTTGCTTTCAAATAGCCTTGTCCTCTCAGTCCTTTCTGCATGATTTGTTGGGGTTCAGTGCTGTCTTTCAGTGTAGCAAATCGTGATGGCCAAGGAGCCCTTCTGTCATTTAATGTTTGGGGCACATTTCCTTCAACACTTTGAAAGAAGTCCTGTCATGTAGATAAACTCTGGTTATAGGACCCTGTAGACCGTGGGTGTCCAATCTTTTGACTTGATCGGACTGCATTAAATAAAGAGGAATTGACTTAGACCACATATGTTGCTCTAAAAGTAATGCCTCCTCTTTATTTCCATGGAAACTACAGCAGATACAAAGAGCATAGCAACTCTTCTTGATGGAGCAAATTCTCAGCTACAAAAGACTATTTTTCAGCATAGCTACCACCATTTTCACTAGCAGTGAACAAAAGCCTGCATGCTGTGCTTGTCAAAACTTGCACCAGTGAAGGTGATCCGCTGTTGCCACTGCTGAAACACACCACCCACCATCTCACAATGCTCACATCCACTGTATAATCTCCATAAATGTTCAGCAAGTGTCAATGATAGACAACAACTGCCATTTTTTCTTCATGAAGGAATTTAGTGACACACCTTTGCTTCATGTACACTTCCATGTCAGACACCATTTTGTCAGACTGCCCCTTTGCTGCCATCTGTCACACAGCAACAAAACATAAAGCAATATTGGTGGGAAGGTTCAACTTCTGCTGCTATACCACCATCATCAGCCTCTGACATTGTGAGCCAAAATAATAAAATTACTTTTGGAGCACCCCTTTCAAAATATGTAATATGATTAATGTACATAAATAAGAAAGCTCATTTTATTTTTTAATATTTCTATTAAAACAATAAGAAAACAAGAACGACAAAAACAGAGAACTGGTCTGACATTTGGCCTTGATTTTTGTGAAACAAATGCATCAGTTTAATGGCAGTGGTTGTAATTCTTAGTGTGCTCTCAAGGCGCTCATCAGAGAGTTTTTTTAATTAAATGTTACTCTTCCTGTGCTCCATCCATGACAATAGTTGTTCACAAATGCCAAATACTGCCAAAAGTGATGACATGAATAAGGTGTGATTGTGAAGCGAGGGATATTATCTGGTATGAGAGCTCTTACAAAAGTCTGGTAAAGAGGCATGTTCAAAATTTTGAATTGAATATCACAGTTTCTCTATATTCTCTATACATTCAGTTTGAAAGCTGTATTTATGATGAATGAAAATGGAGTTTCAAATATACAAAAAAAAATTGATGATTTTTTTTCTGCAATCTTGAAAACTGTTCTCAAATTCCTTTATCAAAATGGAAAGCACGGCTGTGTATTTTTCTCTGCTCACAGCACAGTTTTTAACCAACGTATCAAAACGCATACAGTTACTTGTTGTAACCTGAGTAGGCACTGCACTGAATGCTCCCCATGTCCTGGCTTCAGCCAAGGTAGTGTTAATAGCCCACTGATGTTTGGTTGTTTCTGAGCGGAGTGATGAGTGTGTGCCTGGGGCTGGGCTGGGCTGCATGGCAAGGCAGAGGCACCACCATGATGGTGTGGGATGAGGGAAAGTCTCAGGATGATCTGGGCCAGCCTGTAGGTTGTACATTCCTGCTGTAGACCTAACAACATCAATCTAGATCTACTGCTGGAAAGAGGGAGGAAGAGGGAACCATGACCCTTCTCATCTAATTCTTGTTACAATTGCTTCTGTATTTGTAGGTAAACAATATAAAATGTATTTTATTCCCTTCTCTGAAGTCCATTTGATTTTTGGACTACTTTCTCATTTATATTCTTATATCACTTACAAGATCACTGTTGTCAGTTATAACACATTACCAGATATGATACACATCTTGTCCCTTGGTACTCACTTGAAATGACTGCTCCCTTTACAGTTAATTTTCTGAAGAAGAGTAATAGTTTGTTCCAATCAAGTATGAATTTGCTGTTAATCCCCACGTGGACATTCTTTTTGCAAGTAATTTCTAATTATTATCATGCAAGGCTTCCTCTGTCATGGCACATGTCATGTCTTCTTCTCCGGCCATGTAACTTCAGATATAGGGAGTACAAGTAGGAGTAAGCAGTGATAGCATTTCTGATTTCACTGAAGCTGTATCCAGCCATGCTTTCTGAATTCTTTCCTTTGTCAGAAGGGGTAGGAGTTGAAATTAAATATACATGGCATCCACGATTGTATCTTTTCTGGGCAAGAAAGAGATGATCATAAGAATGCTACTAGAGAATTCCCATATTACTGCATCAAGGATGTCAATAACAAGAACCTGTATTTTGCCATTTTCCTTTTTGTAAACAAAGTTTCTTCTGAAGGCAGTTATAGTTTCTTTAAGAGCAGATCCTAGATTAAATTTGGAGCAAACATGCAGATGAGCTCGTCTCTGTTTTCAGATTTTTGCAGGTAATTAAATGCCTTTGCTGTGGCTGAATTTCACTCACTACGAATTCAAAAGAAACATCAGGCAAAAGCTTCTGGTCCTTTTCTAGTTCTTTTTCAGGTCCAATGAGAGCTGGAAGTGTCTAAAGTAACACATCTGTGCACACTACACTACACTGCACTGTCAGGGACATCAGCTCTTTTTCCACTGTTGGGCAAGTTTTTTGATGGAAAGAGGCTGACATGGATTAAAATACATGCCACCTGTAAGCTCAACATACAAACAGTGAATGCTGAATCCTCTAGTATGTGATGCCTCTACAGAAAACTCGGTAACTGAATAAAACACAGGGCAAAGAGATCTGTAATGGGATGCTGTCATATAAACCCTTATGCACTGTACTTTGTTGTTTTCCACTTTTAAAACTTCAGTGTTTTGGCTGTAGTTCCAGAAAGACAGGCCTTTGAATATTTTATTAGAATATGATGATTTTATAGTAGCAATGTGCAGAAGCCTTTTTTTTTTTTTTTTTTTTTTTTTAATTATGTGTAAAATAGAGAAAATAGTAACTATTCCTTTCAGGAATGAAAGATCTGTAAGTTATGCAAATCATTGGACAAGCAGTAGCAAGTAGTGTCTGCAGATTAACTAGTTTCTGTTGAATTCTCAGAAAAAATATACAACTTTAGCGATGAGTATCTGATGACTGTCTAATATATTTTACAGCTACATCTGTGAGCTCTGTCCTAGATCTTGTGTTTTTCTCCCAGAACACTGGACAGATCTTCAAAAGATGACTGAAAAAGAAGATGAACTGAAAAAAAGCATTTCAGATGCTTGATGTTGCTCAGACCCTGACAATCACAAAGGATGAATTCAGGAGAGTGACTGAAACCTTTCTCATCCATCTGACAGAATCTGAATTTGATGCTATGCTGGCAGAGGTATGCTAAGTCATTGCTGTTTATAACCATTTAAAGGCTATTCCTATCTGTCAGAAGCAAAATTTCCATGTTCCAAGGGGAGCAGGACAAATAGTTACGGTTGAAACTACTTACATGAGTAGTTCAAGTGAAAGTAATAGAGAACCTGCAAAAGCGTTGTGAATAAATAGCTAATCCATGCAAATTGGCTACTGGTGGTGATTATGTTGAAAAATGGTGTTTTGGAGCTGAGAATTTGCTCTATCAAATAGAGCTATTACGCTTTTTGTATCTGTTGTATTTTCCACTGAAATAAATAGCAGGCATTACTTTCAAAGCGACCTATGTATGAAAAGATTTTGTTTGTGGCATGTTGAAAGATTTGTGAAAGATTTGATTGTGGCATTTGAAAGATTTGCAATTTACTACCAGACTTTGAGACACCACTCAAAGCTTAAATTCATATACATGCAGTGTTACAAACGTACATGGATTAGGTTGTGAACTCTGAGATGGAGACCAGATGCTTTCTGTCTGGATGGGGAGTTTGTCAGCACACTTTACAATTTGTTAACTTATGAACCAAAGTCGGACTGAACTTGAAGGAATGTTGGGCATTAATATGGTATTGTAACTGAGACATTGGTCATAAACAGGGTGGATTCTATTGCACAATTGGTACCAGTATTATTATACACTTCATTTTTTGTCCCATAAATGTAGGCAATTGTTTTATATCTTTTTTTTTTCCCCTAACATACTTGAACTAAATATAATAATATTTGCATTTTATACTAGTTAGTCTTTAATGGGCTAAGTCTATTTCAACTAAGATTATTATAAAATTCCTTGCTAACAATAAATTGCCCTTAGGAGGACACACACACCTGAAACACTTTAAACACTCGTTTTGAACAAGAGAAGGAGCTGAAGGAAATGAATCTGCTTTCATATGTACATGTGAAAGATCACAGAGCTAGAGAGTTGAGAAATATTTGTCTTACTTGATGGAAAGTCTTGTAGGTTGTACTTTCTTGCTGGAGGATTTATGAGGCATTACATTTATATTCTGTTTAATTATAGACAAATTGCTGAGAAGTAGTAATGCATAATATACAGAACAAAGGAAAAAATAAGACAAATTCAGTTTTACTAAGAAAATAATAAGTTAGTAATACAAACGAAGTATTTAAATTACCTATTATCACTGAAGAATCATAGAATCATTAAGCTTGGAAAAGACCTCTAAGATCATCAGTCCAACCATCGATCTAGCACCACCATACTCACTAACCATATCCCTCAGTGCCACATCTACCCTTTTCTTGAGCACCTCCAAGGATGAGGACTCCACTGTTTCCCTGGGCAACCTGTTCCAATACTTGAACATTGTAGGACATATTTATGTACATGTATGCTATGTGCATGTTATGTACACGTTTATGCGCATGAAGGATACATTTATGTACTTATGCATGTATTTATCTATGTATATTGAAATACAGATCTCAAACATTGGCAGAGCTACTGTGCCCTATCTTGATTTCCTGTCAAAGTTCACTAAAGTCGTTGGAGGTAGCAGCATGCTAAAAAAACTAAACTTTCTATATTACACAGCCAATTTACTCCTAAATTGTAGCCATGAATCTAACTCTCAAAGCAGAATCTAGCTGCTGATGGGAGCTTCTAGTAAGATAGTCATACAATAAATTCTTTTCCAAAAATGCTTCTCCTATATGTTTGATTGATGTAATTGCTGTAGAAATATTGACTAATTGCCAAGGGGAAGGGACATGTCTCTTAAGCTACAGATCTGCCATTGGAAAAATATGAATCTTTAAGACTGTCTCTTCCCTGAATTAACACTGCAAATTACTCTATATGAAAGAAATTATAAGCAATGCAGTTTCATAAGAATTCAAAAGCAGACTGCTAAAGATGATGTCTTTAAGGGAAACGCAGAAACCAAGATAAGGGAGTCAGAATGTTGAAATGTTTCAGAATTCTGTTCCTTAGGATTAAATAGCTCACATTTTTCTTTGTTTTCAGTGCAATTAATTTTTCAACAGTAAAACTAAGATGCCAACTCTGTGTGAACTAGGATTAAGTCTGGATTCTTCCCTTTTAATGGAAGATGATACTTGAGGAGTAAAATGGAAAATAGATCTGCACTTTGGATAAAAATAATAATTATAAGAAACAAAGTTGTGCTCTCATGGCAGCATTCTTAGCGAAGCACTAAATATTTTTTCACCACCACGCTTTCTACCCCTCCCTGTTCCTCCCAGTGAAATATAAAGGTTGTAATTTTGAAAGGGGATCTGCAGGGAAGTTCTTTTTCCTTCAGTTTGTACTGTGGGCTTGTATGATCTGGGCCTCAAAAAATATGCTGTACATTCCAGTCCAACTTTGTTCCCAGCAAGTGCAAAGCTAAGAAAACTCTCAGACAAAGAGAGAATGAAGGAGTGTAATACTGAGGATACAAAAATGGGATTAGGACTTTGAAAGGAGGCAGGAGGAAGAAGAGGAGCAGTAAAAGAAAAGCAGAAAAAGGGAGGGACTCTCTCCCAGAGAGACAGGAGAGCTTAAAAATTCTAATTAATTAGTGAAAACTAATTAAATAACAAATGAAGGATCTTTCCTGGAATAAAAGGTTAATCTTTTCTTTATTACATGGAATATAATAAAATGGTAGAGGTTTTTATACACTCGGGGTTGGATTTTCCTCCAGCGTTCAAAGGGAATGTTACTCTTGATTTCCTTTTAAACTCGCTAAAATGTGGAAAATAGGGACCATCCTTTGAAGCTCTTGTCTTTTGACCAGTTCGTTGATTAGGGATCTTTTCTGAAACAGTGCAGCATGGGGGAAGTAAAGGTAATAGTGGAATTGAGTGCTGTTAGAAATAGAATCTGCACATCCACCACTGGAGGGCAGTACAGGTGCTGTTTTCCAAAGGTTTTTCTAAGAGGGATTATGAGAACGACTTTATCCCCTTGTTTAAAAATCTGCCAATTCCACTGAAATCAGAGGCTAGAATTATGGCAGACGTTTGCTTTGAGGACTTCATCCCACAGATACCAATATGAATAAAATTGTGCAAAGCTTGTCAGAAGCAGTTACTTAAGGCTGAGACACGAGACAAGCATGGAAAGAGTAGGATTTGGCGCCTGCTAAGACTACTAGAAAAGTACACTTGGATAGTATTTGACTCTGAAATTGACCTGGCCTGTTGCTTGGTGCAAGTCAATGGATTATGGAAAGAAAGGTAAAGGGAAGGCAATACATCTTTTATTTTGAAAAAGATTTTTAATTTAAAATGTTTCTGGTGATGGTAGATTTGAGAGCTGTGCAGGGGAGGGGGAAGGAGACTTGCCTAAAGTTCTCTAAGGAACACTTGATGAGAGAAAGAGGGGAGAAGTGTCACTGCTACTTCTTGACCATCTGATTCCTGTATCATCCCAAGGGTGAGATCCAGCCGTTTGTGTCCCGTGCAGCAGCAAAAAATAAAAATAAGCATCCTTGAACAAAAGAAAATTCCACTCTAACGGTCATCATGCTCGTGGATGACAGACAGTTGCCACATCTGTCTTGCTCAGGGGTACAGATTTTGTGATTTTGTCTATCAGAGGTGCAGAATGGTGAAGAGCAGCCAGAACGAAGGCAGGATCAAGCTGCTTTCTAGCTTTTTTGTTTGTTTGCATGCTAAGACAAAACTCTCACATTGATGTCCCTGCAATGGTCTTCAACAGTGCTGTGATGCACTTGTGGTTTATGTTCATTTTTTGGTTTATTATTTTTGGTTTATTGAACCAAGGTTACCAAAGAATGACATTAAGTCAGCTGGAATTCCTGCTCACCGAGAAAGTATGTTGACCAGGGTAACAACAGAAACCTCATGCTGGCATATTAGTTCATTTCAGATAATAAGTAGGTATTGCTCTCCATGTATCGCTATCAATTTAGTAATGTACGTAACAGGATTTTGGCTTGTTGCATTATGAAGATCTTATTATATAGGTATGCTTAAGGTTTGGTTGTGTTGGTTTTTTTATTATGCTAGAGTACTAAGTGTTTTAAAAGCTTCTTGTTTCTAATCTATGCTGTGAATTCCTTTTTAGCATCAAAAACCATTCAAGTCTTGCAATAAACTTCTGGCATAGGACTAGCATATTCCCACTGTGATTTTATTTCTTAGTTACTAGATGCTTATGGCTTGAATTACAATGCTTGACTTAGCTATGAAACTAGATTCTTCATACCAGTACAACTTCTGTAATTGTTTAGCCCTTTGCAAGACTGAAATAGAACATTAAGTCACATTGGAAGAATTGCATTTTAACCATTTTGTATTCTTAAAAGTATTAAGCTGCCTGAGAGCTCAGGCTTCTTACATCTCGGATACATTGCTGAACAGCATGAAAACGCTTTTTTGAATTGGAGAAGAGGTAGTGATATGGCTACGAGAAAAATAAATTTACTAATTTATGTAAGAAACCGAGCCATGCGAACCTGTCCATTGGCATCACATCTACTGCATTTGGACATTTATACATTAACTTGATGTCACATATCATGGTAAGAGTTGAAATGTGCAAGCACACAGAAAAGTATTCTGTCCCTTCTAGAGAACTGTGTGGCAGTCTTACTGCCTCTACTACAAGACACTTGGTAGAAGAAGAAATACATTAAACATAACCTGATGTAAAATTCAAGGAAATTTCAACCTCCTGCTGAGCTTGGCATGGACTTGGCCTGTAATTTGGGAGGGGGAAATAAAATCTTTCTGATTTCACAGCTGTTATTGCACCTCAGGGCTGTAGTAGTATTTGCAACCCATTTGCTTCCCTTCCACTGGGTAGGACATCTGAATATATCCTCACTCTAGCCTGAATAAAATATTAACATATCGCAAGGCTGTTAGGACAGATTGTATCCAAGACAATCTTTTCTCACTGTAGAAAGGCCTATCAATCATGACTGGGTATAGTTGTTATTAATGTCATAGCTTTTATTCATTTGGCTAT